CTGCGGCGCGCGCGGGGCCGCCCCGTGTAAACACCGAGGTGCCCGCTTGGGCTGCGGCCGGGCCACGCCTCGCGCTCGGGCGGCGCGTCACCCGTTGCTGGGCAGAGAACCCGATATTTGCATCTCCCAATCGCTGGCTGCCAGTGCGGGGCGGAGCTGGGCGGTCTAGCGCCTGGGATTGGGGGTGTCGGATGAGATCGGTTTCTTTTCTTAGGTTGGGGACTGGAGGGCGGGGGCGCCGATTGTGCTTCCCATCTGGCTCCGAAAGCTTGTTCTCGCCCCGCCTTGCCTTTGAAATTTTAGCTTATTCGATGACACCTGCCGCCAGGTAGGACCTCTGCCCCCTCCTCTTTCGGGGCGTCTTTTTGAACCGTCCCAGAACAGAATGTTGGGGACCCGGGCTCAAGAAAGCTCCGCAAGGTGACAGACTGATCGTGTCATAGATGTAGTCCCTGCTTAGTACAGAGAGGGTCCAGCCACATAGGTGCTCAACAAATGCTTTTGGACCCAGTGAACCCTTTCATATTATCTCGTTCGAGGCGCCAGTAGATCCTGAGAAGAAACCGAGGCGTACGAAACCGGGGACATGTGGACTAGGGCTGGAAACGTAGGCTCGCGGTCCCCGCTCGCTCTTCTCTGCTCAGGGCGCAAGGGCCCGGGGCACCTCGCCTACCAGCGAAGTCCTGAGCAGGGCGGACTCCCGCTTTTCACAGTCCTCGGGCGCGGTTCGGGGATGTGTGGGTGCCCCATCACCGGGTCCCATCACACACCGCAGCCAGGCTGCGGTGAGAAGGCCGAGACGCCCCTCCGGGGTCGAACGAAGCGTGCGCGGGCACGGGGCGGAGCCAGGCCGAGGGGCGTGCCGGCGACGCACGCTCCAGGCGCGTGGCGGGGAGGGGCTGCGCGCTCCCAGCTCACCACGTGTGATCCCGCACGGGCACTGCGGGGTGTGTGCTAACCTCGGGGGAGGTCACCTTCACCGCGACCGGGACCGGGGCAATGGGAGGGAACGCAGAGGCCTAGCCCCTCGAATCAGTTGCTGGAAGGGGTCTAAAATGGCATTCTGCTGGGGCGAAGTGGGTGGGCACCGTCCGGGCGGAGGGCACCTTTCTCTGGCTGCAGACCTCACCCTCCACTCGGCGGGTGGGGGCTGAGAGCCCAACCTGAGGGTGTGGGGCGTGGAGGAGGGGTTGAGCCGAGGCTCTGCAAAGCAGGGGGCGGGGTGATGCTCCGGGTGCCCCGAAGGGAAATTGGAGCATCGCGGGCGGGAGGGGGTGACTCTTAAAGGCACAGGGCACTCGGAAGGAGAAGGTTGTGCTCTCTACCAAATGCTTCGTCCGCCGACTTACTGGATGCTGAGATCTGGCTGTTCCCGAGTTTGAACATTCACAATGTCATTGAGCCTGACCGGTTCAATGCTCGATGGAGGCAATTACTGTATTCATATCCCAGTACCTCCTTTGCTTATCTTAAAATGGGGAAAAAGCATTTTCTCATATGGTGGTTTTACAAATTAAGTGAGATAATGGGTGTAAACACATCCCTGACGCCTAGTAAAGGTATCAAAGAATGAGCACATGAAAAATAAAAGCTTTAAATTTTTTTTCTAACACTATTTCATTTTTTCGATTTAATATTCGTTTTATTTTAAATGACATGATCGACACTGCCATCTTTTAAATGCTCAGGGCCTCTCAAAGGTCTTACTCTGGCTCTGTGACTACTGCTATTACTACTATAGTTTATGCCTACTGGCCTTCTGGATGTTCCTCAAATACAGAAGGCTTGGGCCCACTATATGGCCTTTGAACACGCTGTCTCCTCTGCCTGGAAAACTCTTCAACCCCATCCCCACATGGCTGGTCCATCTCATTCTAGCCTTAGTTCAGATGGGACTCTCCAGAGAGGCCTGCCCTGACCACTCTCTGCTGTTGCTTACCTGTCACTATACATCTCAGGTGCAGAGAATTGAGTGTCCATGACTGGCTCACTTTATGTTTGTATGTATTTATTTATAAATAATGTAAGAAAAACCACTGCAGAAAAATCAGCAACCTAATGCAAGAACTGGAAAATTAATAACCTACCTTCTCTATGAACTTTCCCATTCCATCTCCTGCCTTCCTTCTATTCTGAATCTTCCCTTACATTAAAAAAAAAAACAGCTTTATTGAGATATAATTCACATACCATACTATTCATGCATTTAAAGTGTACCAATCAATAGTTTATTCACAGAGTTGTGCAACCGTCACTGCAATCACTTTTGAATATTTTCATCATTCCCCAAAGAAACTGTACTCACCTTTGTTCTAACCCCCAGCTCTAAGGCAAACATTAATCTCTCTGTCTCCATGGATTTCCTGCACCATTTTACATTCCTACCAGCAGTGTATGAGGATTCCAGTTTCTCCTTTCTCTTCTTACTTTTTCAAATGTTTTTCTTAAAAATATCCTCTTTAGCTTTATCAAAGTATCATGCTCTATGCAGTATTCTGGTACTTACTGTCTCACTCAATATAGTGTTAAAATTCATCTACATTATCACACCTGTGTGAGGTACATTCATTTTTCTACTGTGGGAATATACACAATTTTCCTACCCATTCTCCTGTCCACAGACGTTTGAAATATTGCCAGATTTTTGCTCTTATGAAGAGTGTTACTGTTAACAGTCCTAGATGTGTCCCTGGTGCTCAAGGGCAGAAGGTCTCCCAAGTATCTCATGGAAAGTGTGATTGCACATCTGAAGACATATGATTGCTAACTTTTACAAGGTAATGCCAAACTTCCAAGTGTACCAATTTACTTTTCCAATAACATACAAGAAATCCTGATTTTCCATATCCTGTCCCAAGTTTGGTATTATCAGGTGTCTTTGTTTCGGTTGCATGATTCTCTTTCATCACCCTTCCTATCTTTTTCATACCACCAACCACATCTGCAATTACTTTATTTGTTCATTTGTTTTTTGATGTCTCATCTACACTAGAATGTCAGCTCCAAGAGGCAGAGATTTTTGTCATTGTTTACTGCTTTATCCCTAGGAGATTCCCTGGCACACAGTAGGTGCTCAATACATATTTATGGAATGAATCAAAGTCAGTGCCCTACGATGAGTGCACTAAAATTCCTATTCTCTGGAAGCCCAAAGAAGGCAGTAAAATTTTGGAAAACAAAACCCCAAACTGCAGTCTGCCACTAAGATGTGGTTATCAGTACACACAGATTACCCTAAGTCCTTTCAAATGGGTGCCCAGAATCTAAACCTTACTGGCCACAGGAGTTCAAGGCTGGACTCACCACTGGGCTGTGCAATCCAGACTGCAGTAGGTAGGTGATGAGGTTCTTGGAGTGAAGCTGACCACCACTACCCCACCTGTCCAGGCCACCATCATCTCTCACCTGGGCACCTGCCCAGCCTCCTTTTCTGGTCCCTGAACCTACCCGGTCTCCTTTCATTCCACTCTCCTCCCTGAAGCCAGAGTGATAGGATTTTCTAATCACAGATCTGATTGTGTCTCTGGCCTTCTTAACACCCTTCAATGGTTTCCCCATTACTCTCAAGATAAACAACAGACTCACCTGGTGCACCAAGTGAAGTTTAGTCTGACCCCTGCTCACTCATCTGACCTTCTCTCCTATTTTCTCTGTTTTGAGCTGGCTTCCAGTCAATGAGGCCCATTG